CTCGAGAGCGAGTAGTTGGAGAGACAGACTATAAATCTTGTCTCTAATTTTTTTTTTTTTTAATTAGGTAACGAATTTTCCTGACGCTGTCCAACTACATCTTCACCGTAATCTTCCTGGCTGAGATGACAGTTAAGGTAAATGAAGCCAAAGCATAAGCTTGGCTGTGCTGCATTAGCACCATTTTATGACTTTGGATTTCTAAAGCCCCTGTGCCCATTTTTCCAGAGATCATCATGTCTTAATCTGCTCTGCTACGTGGGAAGGAGGAGTAACCCAATAAATATCAGGCACCTTATTCTTAGTGCATTTTTCAGCACCATCATTCCATTGAAGTTATGCCTGATTTATAGCAGTATAGATGAGATGAGAGGCCTCAAATCAGCAGTCCATCCCTTTTCCATAGAGCACTTAAGCGCATGCTTTACTTCAGCCATGTGTGTAAATCCCATTGACTTCCATGACCTAAAGATAAGTTTACGCTTAAGTGCTTTGCTAAAGAGGCAGTGTGACCTAGTGGCTAACGTACTGGACTGAAACTCAGGAGACTGGGACTCTATTCCTATCTCTGCCTGCCACTGGCTGTTGGGTGACCTTGGGCACATCATTTCACCTCCCTGTGCCTCAGTTTTCCCATCTGTAAAATGTGGATAATGATACTGACCCCCTTTGTGAAGTGCATTGAGATCTACTCATGAAAAATGCTGTATTAGAGCTGCGTAGTGGTGATTTGTTGTTATTTTATTAAATGTGTACTTAAATGCTTTTCTGAATTAGAGACTGAATAAGGCCCAAAGATTGGCAAGACTTTTTCCTGTATATCACTCTCATATAATTCATAACATCTCAGAAGTATTCCCCTCTCATTTGGAAACTTCCCCCGTCTTCTGTAGTTGCAAATCTGGTGGCCAGCAATAGCCTATAGTCAGGACCTCGAAACCACTTCTCTTCCCCGGTAGCCCAAATAATCATGTGATCAAATCTTCTGTGCAACAGCTATACATTAATAGAACCACTTTTGCACAACTAGGTTTAGCTGCATTAAAAATACATCAGCTGTTAAGGGGCAATCTGCGGTGTGTTTTGCAGAGTTATTTTTACAGTCCTTACGGTATAACACTTTACAGAATTGTCTAATTAGGTTTCTATACTGGGAAGCAAATGGACTCGCAATCACTTATCTGTGAATAATGTATTAGCTGCAAGTCGCTAACTGGAAGAAACATACTGGCTGAATTAGTCATAACTTGTTGCCATTTGGGCAGGTGGTGGCGCTCGGCTTGTGCTTTGGGGAGAAGGCCTACCTGAAGAGCAGTTGGAATGTGCTCGATGGGGTGTTGGTTCTCATCTCGGTCATTGACATCCTGGTTTCACTGGTATCGGACAGCGGCACTAAAATTCTTGGAATGCTGAGGGTCTTGAGGCTACTGCGAACGCTCAGGCCATTAAGGTAAGCAGCGATTTGGGGCTAGATAAGATAGAAAAGGGGTGCAGGTTGGCTGCGCAAGCTTCTGGTTGGGGATGGTTCCCTGAATCTCTCCATGCAAAGAAACGGAACTGTTTTCTGGAGTGCAATGGAAGGGCCCAGTGAGACAGAAAACGCAGGGTTTGCTGCCCAGTCACACCTCCAGCTCTGTGCACAACCTGTCGTTGCCTTTACAACAAACTCCCAGCCTGATTCTGAGACATGACAGCCTCGGGTCCTGTTCAAGTCAAGGGGAGCTCCAGGCACTCAACACATCTCAGGGTCAGGCTTAACTGTGTAGAAAACTGATCAGTGCCCCCTTTGCTCATTAACGCACACATTCCCTGCTATTTGTGCTCTCATTTGCTCTGTGTGAAGTGTTTCTTAACAGCTCCTTTCCCCTCTCCCTTCAGGCAATCAATGGCTTTTGTAACCAAGAATAAAATTAGTAGCAGGTGGCAGCGAATTTTTAAAGATTCAGAGACCAAACTGTTACTTAACCTAAAATGTGAAGATTTTTTTCCCTTCAAAATCTCCATTAATTTCACTCTGATACTAATCGTAAGAATGGCCTGATGAGATGAGAGCACTGGTCCCTCTAATCAGGTTTCCTGTCGGACAGTGGCCAGTATTGGATGCTTCACAGACAGGAACAAGATATCTTTTAATGGACAATTGTGCAACAACCTGCCCATGGAGGAAGTTTCTTCCTGACCCCAAGCAAACCATGTTTGGCCTATGCCCTGAAGCATGAGGGTTTATATGCTTAATAAATATGATAACCTATCTAATATAATTGGGGATGTTCTTGTTATGCTGGAACTAACAAGCGTATCATCCCCACAGTCTCTTTACACACATGTTATATCGCACTCCCCCTCCCTTCATCTGGTGTTTTTTCTTTTGGGGTAGGGATGTATCTCTTTCTTTCTGTGTGTTTATGCAGGGCCTAGCAAAACAGCCTCATTCTGACTAGGCCATCTGTTTGCTACTGCAATATGAATAATAAAAAAGGTCACACCATCTGTATATTTCTGACATACTCTCCTCTGAAAGAATCAAAACATAGACTTTGTCCACATGCCCTGTTAGAGCGGGATCGAAAATCCATTAAAGCTTTTCCATTGCCTTCAGTAGGCTTTGGATCAGCCCTTTAGTGGGTAAAAAACTAGAAATGAGCAAATAATTAGGAGCTGCTAATATTTTTGCCAAACTTTGCCATATTTGTCACAAATTGCATTGGCCTTTACGTCTTTTGCCATTTACGCACTCAGAAGTCCCCAGATTGTGCGCACACAGTTCATGGCGAGCATTAAAGATTCAGATTTTGAACTCTACTGGTGAGTTTTGATTGGACAGATATATTGCATTGTATGTGTCTGTTCCCTGATTGGGTGATCGCCACCCTGAGAATCAAGTTTCGGAGGTGAATACTTGTGATTGTGGGTTCAGGTTTGGCTTTCTTCAGGTGTTTCCCAGTGTTTCCTTGTTGTTTGCTGATTCTGTGAACGTTCCTGAGAGCATGCTTGTTTGTTAGACTTTTCCACAGAAAGCCACGGGGCAAAAAGGGCACTCGCACAGTTAAAATAGATCCACTTAAAGCAAAGGTTCTCAACCTGGGTCTTGGCCCCAGAAAGGTCACAGGGGCTCATGGCCATCCTGCCTTTCCCATACTGCTAAATGGAATGGGGATCCTGGCTAGATTGAAAGGGGTGGCCCCGGAAAGTCCCACTATGGAAAAGGGCATGTTGCTATTAAAATGATTAAGAACCATCGGTTTAAAGGTTCAAACACACATTCGCAGAAAATTGTTCACAATATCTACCCAGCTCTTCTCTTGCCTTTTTAATACTTACACAGGAAAAGTACAAGATAATTGGAATTTCTATAGGTAAAATTAGTATCTATTTCACATCCGCTTCAACTGAGAGACGCACATCAAACTTGGAGAATCTCCTCCCGTGAAGGTTATTGGTTTTCTCAATGAGCCCGTGGTGTTAGATCACATCTAGATAAGATGTTTTGAGTGCGCTTTACATTAATCTGTAATGTTTCCTGATTATTTTATTTTCAATTTAAGGCTTTGATCCTGTTGTCAGTGAGACTCCGTATCTGTGTATGGGTCAGCCTGCTCAGGATTGGGGTCTTAATTCACATGAGCTGTCCTCGTTCATGTGAGTTATCCCATTCACCTCAATGGGATTCTTTGTATGAGTATAAACTTCCAGTTGGAAAGGGTATTTGCAGGATCAGGCCCTTACATTATTTTGTTCCGTTGGCGTCGGATGTATTTTCTCAAGAGGGTACATGAATGTTTGTGATTGACTAAACTGCACAAACACTTCATAACGCAAAGGAAGTTTTTAAAAGATAACAATGAAACTGTTCCCTAAATACGTTCACAATCGATTCTGTTCCTCTGTAATTAGATTTGTAGCAAATGAAAAGCCAACCGTTAAAGTCGGGGCTTTTCAGTCATTCATAAATCTCCACATGTGGAAATCCATCTGCAGTTATGCACATGCACATATGGACTCAGCTGACCATGGTGGCCTCCCTGCCCAAGGCTCAGCAACTTATTTTGCTGTTTCATTTAAGAACAATAAATTTTGCATTCTTTAGCTCCACCTGTTGGGACAGCTGTGTATGTGCAAGTGTAATTGGATGCACAACTCAGCCTCCTCTTGTTTTAATCAAAATGAAGCCCATATTGCCTGGGAAATTAGCTGCTATTAATGTAGGAATGTCAATTCAGTGTATGAGATTCACTTCAGAGCCTGGACCCTGCACAAGGCCCTGTGTGATGCTTCAGCCAGCCCAAACTTTTCATGGATTGGGGTTGAATTTAGCAAATAGACTCAGACAAAATAATTGAGGGGGGGGAACGGACACATTTTTTAAGCCGCAGCTTTTCACTACTACATTTTCAAGATGAAACGTTTCTACTTTTCATTTCAAAATTGGTGTTTTGTTTACAAATTTAGCTAAATGTATTTTTGAAAAGTTAAACGCCCGAAAATGAAACAAACACACACATGCAAATATTCATTTCCGGTCAAATGAAACATTTCATTTGTCTTGAAACAAATTGGGGAAGGGGTCATTTTGGCAAGAAAACCAAAATATTTCCGTTTCAGGTCAACCCAAAATTATGGGCCACCGAACTGAAAAAAAATCAGTTATTCACTCCGCTCGAGACAGGGACCGGAGCCAGCCCAGGGTCAGCAAGTGACGACTTCTGGCTGCCATTTGCCAACTTCCTGTATATGTGTGAGGGGTAGAATTGCAAGAATGGCTATAAGGGAGTGTGATGGGATGTCCACCCCACACAAAGCCTGAAGGGGGGGAAGGTGGCTACGTGTGCCAGTTAACCGCCTGGGCTGCACCTAGAGGAGGAGCCAGGGAGCAAGGGCTAATTAGAGATGAAGCTCATCAGAACAGGAACAGGAGGGGCCTCTCTATAATGCCCAGTAGTTGAAAGTGGAACAGGGTGGGAGAGATGGAAACTGCTGTCACTCTGAAGGTGTGGGAAGAAGCAGCCCAGGGATACAGCAAAAAGGGATAGACCTTGTGCAGATCTTGAGTGCGTGTTGTAGGCTCCTTGAACTGGAAACCAGTGTAGAGGGTGGGCCTGGGTTCCCCTACCAGCCACTGGGGAAGTGGCTCTGTTATGGGGCAGTGAATGGGAAGACTGCCTGGGACAGGGGATTCTGAGAGACTTTGATATATGCCCCCCAGAAGGGAAGGGCTACAGTGACCTGGCCAGAGGGCCAAGCCACAAAGTGGGAACAGTCGAGTCTCAAGCGAGTGAGACCGGGAGAGAGACGGAGTGAGCAATGTGAGGAGGGGGCGTCGACATGGTACAGCTAATCCCCGGATGCGACCAGAAGGAGGCGCTTCAATGGTGAGTGTAGCACCCCAGGACAGGGAGACATCAGGAGAAAAATCCCTGTAAGAAGCCACCGCTCTACACCTCACAGCATTGAACGTTAGGAAAGTGAAGGGTTTTCGTTAAGTTTGCTTTGGCTTATGGCAGCTTGCCTTGATTTATGGCCCTAGAGGTTTGCTACTTATAAAAGACCTTCCTGATTGCTACTTTGTCTTATTTCACTGTGGAAAACCCCACTGCCTTATATAGTACACACAATTGTGTATGCAAAATCACATATGCAAATCAAGTATTTCCATGTACGCCTGACCAGCAACGTGTGCGGCTGACCATTTGCATGAACAAATACCCAATCTGCATACGTGCAAATCACGTACATGCAGTTGTGTGGGCGTAATTACACATCCCAGTCATTGAATATCAGGCCTAAAGCTATACAAAGGGGTATTCAAGCCCCACTCTAGGCACAGAAGTTTGAAAATGTGTTCACAAAGAAGGGGCATTCCAAGGTGTTTCCACTGCTCTCTCTGATGTACCAGCCTGTAGAAGAATTGCTGATCCAATAACGTTCCTTCCTAATTCCACTCTATATGCATCCGAAGAAGTGGGCTGTAGTCCACGAAAGCTTATGCTCTAATAAATTTGTTAGTCTCTAAGGTGCCACAAGTACTCCTGTTCTTTTTGCGGATACAGACTAACACGGCTGCTGCTCTGAAACCTTCCTAATGTGTCAACTTGCTGTTGTCAGGATCAAGTGCTACAGCTCACGATACAAGAGAAATCCAAATTAAAAATGGATTCAGAATTAATTTGGATAGGTTTCAACGCTATTTTACTCTCTTCAGAGCTTTGGCTTCAGCTTCCAAAGCAGATGTGTAAATTATTCACTCTTCCTCCCATCGCTGTATGAAATAGTCATTTTATAGCTTCGCTCCCCTTTATCATATTATCACCTTTGCTGTTTTTTCCCCCCATGGAGGAAAGCCTGCATTAACACTGAGCTGCCACTTCTTTATACCAATGGGCTGAGCAGACTAGCAGGCTTAAAGTTAGTAAATATGTTCCAGCTGGGATGAGATTGACAGCAGTCTTGGAG